GATCACCACCAAAGAGTTCCCCCTGCAACTAAAGGGCTTTTCCCATTTTCCTTTTCCCTATGAAGCTGCAGCACGGAATAGGTCAGTAATGACTCTCATGCTAAAAATTACATTTAATCCTGAGTCCATAACGCATTCAGCACCCCTCCCATTTTAACCATTACCTTATAAATTTCCTTTCTTTGTGCAAGTGTCCCCCCCCCAAGGTTCCCAGGCTGTCTCATTTGGCAGCCACACGCTATCCTAACACCAAGAGTTAAAGCCTGACGGGGTGCCCGGCCTATCCTGACCACAGACTTCCTCCTGGACAGACACAGATGGTATTTCTCTGTAAATGTAACTAGGGCTGACAGTTTCCCTTCAGCAGCTGTAGCTGCTGCTATTGCGCTGCTGGTGCTGCCCTGCCAACAACAGCCCAGCCACGGGCAGCCTCTGTGTCTGATACAAAATGGGCTTTGAAAGACAGGGAGGCTAAAATGCAAAGTCACAGACTGTTCCCACTGCAGGGGTTTGCTAGTATTGAAATAAACTGCCTGCAGTGGGAGCAGAGGCCTGCAAGCACTACCTTTCTCTGAGCACATGGGGAATAAGCTCGTTTTGCAGCACTTCAGGTTGCCTGTCTGTGGAGCTCCTCTCACTAAAACCACCTGATTTTGAAGCAGCTTGCTTGGCTGTGCTAAAATTTAAGCCTCCACCACCCAGTCTGATCACAGGAGAAATCAGCAGCATGTCCAGCGCTGTGCCAGCTCCTGCACCAGTCTCCATCCCTGGTGGCAGGAGAACTTGTTCACCGCAAACAAGGCTTGGGTGGCATCTCCAGAGGAGCTTCCACAGCCTGAAGCTAGACACCTGCCTTACTTATAACACAAACCCTGTCCCAGGAAAAAAAGAAAGAAAAAAAAAATCAGAACTGGCCATTGACTTGTCCCATCCTGCTGTACTTCACAGTCCAGGTTCTGTATTTCAGGATGCCCACCAGCTCACCACTTGAACCCAAGGGAACCGATCTTCATATTACATCGGGGGAGAGCAGAGGAACACAGAATCACAGAATTTCTAGGTTGGAAGAGACCTCAAGATCATCGAGTCCAACCTCTGACCTAACGCTAACAGTCCCCACTAAACCATATCCCTAAGCTCTACATCTAAACGTCTTTTAAAGACTTCCAGGGATGGTGACTCCAGAGGGAAACACTTGGTCCTTTGACCTAGTCATCTGCATTTCCTTGAGTAAATGAGAGTTCATGATACTCACCCTAACCAGCATACAACTGAACCCCTTCCTTTCATTTACATTATAGTAAATTAATTTCCTTTGGCAATCTGCATGTCTTTTCATTCACTAATGCAGATTCAGAGACGCTGTGCCCAGTGAAATGGGGAGCTCCCTTTCTTTGGGAAAGCCAGTGTAACAGGCAAAAGGCAGAGAAAGCAAGAGGAATACTGCCAGTAACTCGGCTGTTGCAGCCCCATTTCAGTCCTTTAAATTAATCAGTCATACTCATTTCACAGGGCTGTGTAAGAATATTGATCACAGGAGAAAAATCGATCAAGTGATACATTTGTGAGATGCATAAAAGGAAGTTCGGGTCAGAAGAAGCATCAAGATCCTGCTCTTCTCCAGCTCCTGGTGGTTTCTGAAGTACTTTCCCCTCTCCCTGTAAAGCCCCAGAAAACTTCAACCTGGATGAGTAGGAGAGGGAAAGGGAGACTTTCTGCCACCTGAATTTGGACGATGGCTTCCTTCAGCCCGGTTCTTACAAGGTCCGCTTAGCCCTGCTGAAAGGGAGCATAAAATTCACACCTAGCTTTCGTTATGTGATTGCGACAGTGGGGGCACTTGGATGTCCTGGTCAAGTGCACAGGGCAGGAACCCCAGCAGAGCAGAGCTCTGAAAAACGATAACGAAGGATGTTGTAAACACAGTGTCTTAGGGAAGGGATACGACAGGTTACCCTGGAAGGAACCTCCCTGCCTCAAGGAGAGTTGAGTTACCCAGAGCCCCTGGGGGGCTCTGCTGCCATGTGGAGCTGCAGCCACGTGCTTGAGTGTGTTGTAACGCTAATCCCAAAGCATTTCCTCCAGAAATGATGCTTCAGCACCAGAAGAAACACAGACATGACATTCAGAACACTTCCAGGAAAAGTGATGCGCTGTTGCTTGAGGCTGATGGGACTATAATGCGGAGTTGGCAGCAAAACAGAAAATAATCCAGATTACTATTCTTCCCTCATTTATTCTACAAACACTTCCCCCCCCAATGAGTTGTTTACCTCTGCTTTATAGTTACAATCTTATGACCTGTGAACATTTTTATCTGTAACCTATTGCTATAGAAAGATGTGTGAGAACAGAAATAAAAGTACTTTTAGTGCAGAGGTTTTCAGGCAAATCTGAAAAACTGCCATAGGTATTCCTCCAATTGCAGGAAAGACAAGTGGTCACTGAAGGACATAGCTGCTGTTAAATGTGATTACTTTCAGAGTTTGCAAGTGCAGTGCTGAAATCCATTCTTTAAATGTGAAATTACATCCTGGTGCCAGATGCAAACAATTAACTCAGCTGACAGTCACAGAACATCTGAGAAACCATTAAAATAACAGAATTTAAATGGAGTTAATTCACCTCCTGCACACACTGTGAGATTTCTACTGGAAAACAGAGAACTTGGCTTTTTCCTTAGGAGGTGTTGTGTCAACTGCTGATGCAATCAAAGCACTAAAAGAGTTTTCTTTTTCATTGCATGATTTCTCATACCAAACAGAGAATTCCTTGCCCCAATTAGCAAGCAATAATTGGCACTCAGGTGTGTAACAGTTCACCAAAATACGGCTCATAATCCATCCCTGTGGCTGTGGAATGACAATTGAATTATCCACTAGATGTTATTCTGACACATATTAGCAAGTAGAAATTTGCAACACGTTCACGATAGAGCCTTAAACCCACAGCCAAAACAGCTGGTGGGGACAGGGGAGGACGGGGCCGGGGCCAGCTGCAGCCTCTGCCCCTGGCAGACCTGGGGGCTGTGCCGTGGGAGCTGGTCTGCTGCAAAGAGCAGAGCCTGGCCACAGCCAGCATCAGGGGCTGAAGGCATAGACTGCTGTTGTACGACACGGCATTTGGGTGGAAAATTATTCCATGGAGGAAGAAGGGATTATTTCCCGAACCATTATTTGTTAAAGATGATAGCAATTTGTCTTCTCTAGACACACAAGTGTGCTCCACAGGAGAAAATCAGTGCTTAGGTCTGGCCAGTGTAAGTAATGGAAAAGTGAACTTAGGGTTGGTCTGGCAGGAATCTACTAGATTCAAGGCAATGTAAACCTCTTCAAAACAATTTTGAGGTCTAATAACTTACATACTATTGAAAGGCAATTAGGAACATAGAAAAAAATAAGTTTTGATGTTTCTGTACCTCAGCAATAACTAATATCAACCTCATGGAAAAAGGACACCCAACTGAACAGAAATGATAACAAATAGAAATGCTTTTTAGCATCCCAAAGAACTTAGCAGAAAAACATGTATTAGTCCCCAGAGGTTCAAAAGAATGGATTAAATTGTTTTCCAAAGGATGTATTTCTTCAACCATTAGGCTTCTTTAGATGTTATCTTAAAAGCTATCTGAAATGACTGCAGAACTCTAATGGCTGCTTTATTAAATGTTATAGGGTTTTTCCACAAAGGATATCTGCGTTACTCTTTGGACCTCAGAACCTTATTATTTGAATAAGACTATTCTTAAATTAATGGGCTGTTCAAACCACCGCAGGTGACATACAGTGTGTTAGCTCGGCACATTTCAAAAGATGAAAAAAACAAAACAAAACAAAACAAAACAAAAAACCATAATTGAAATCATTCATACTGACTGTTATTGAGTCCAGGAATCCATTGTCTTGCACAGGCTACCCTTCTGATTGCTGTTCTCTCTTAAGTGCCTCAGATGTGAACCATCTGGCTCTGTGGTCACACCAGAGACATGAGAAGGAGAGAAAAGACTTTAATTCCATGTCTAAGGCTGATCTGATGTAGTCTTAAAACGTGCACCCTTTGGGACAATGTTTTGATATCAGAAACACAGGGAGGACCTGAAGGCAGAGCTGACCTCACCCTGCGAATCTCACCCGAACCATCCCAAATTTGACACTGAAGGAATCCAGGATTTTAGCTAGAAGCATCTTTTGGTTAGAAGTAATTTGCCATAAAATGGTGAGAGTTCCTCCAAGAGGAGACGGAGTCAGAGTTCTTGTCAACTTTCCCCTTCCTTTGCACAGAACACGGGTAAAGGAGAGTCTTGCTGGCCAAACTAAAACCTATTAAGTGGGATTTCCAGTGCCCTGGCTCAGCTGACAACTAATTTGTTTTGCCTTTGCCTAGCAGGGATTTTCCATGCAGTGGACTCTTGTTTGCTATGTAAGTCATCTGAGTATTTGTTAGTGTCATAGCCAGAGCCAGATGATGTTTATTCTGCTAACATCCAGTCGGGCTCCAGCAGCACTCATTGAGGTCAGGGCTTTATTTATAGAAGCAGATATACATTGAGATTCATTTTCTTCCCCTTGCTGTAATCTACCTAAGCTCATCCAAAATAGAAAGAAACATGCAGACATGCAAGTAATATACTAATTGGGCCAGATCCTCCAGTGGCATGAATTAGCACAACACCAAGCCAATGGAAAAAACAAAAACAAACGAACAAAAAAAAAAAACACAACAGCATTTTAGCACAGCTGAGGCTCTTGTCTATTATTTCTCGCAGGGTTGGGAAGGGAGGGGTTTAAAAAAGAGAAATAATAAAGCAAAAAGAAAAAGCCACGAAGCAATGAAAATGTCCCAGCCTGTGGCAGAGCAGCTCTGCAATGCAAAATTCCTTCACCCAGATCTGCAAAGCGAAGTATTCCTTCCTCCTGTGCTCCCAGTCACTGGAAAAGTGCAAGAACCAGCGTGCCGAGAGGTCCAGACAAGGCAAAGTAACAAGACTTAAAGCGATTTACCTGAGGAAACTGAGAAGGCATTGTCAACGTACGAAGTCTGAGAGAAAGCAAAGCAGGAGACAAGCTGAAGGTAAAATCCCCAGGCAACAAGGCTGAGGGCAAACATGCTGCCTGCGCCCTGGGCAACTGCAGCCTGGAGGCGCAGCTCTGCTTTGGGGCTTGCTCGCTCTCTACTCTGCCTCTCTGTCTGTCTTGCCTGCTCGCTTCCTCTTTCCTCGCTGGCTGCGGGATGCGTGTGTGTCTGTGTGTCTGCGTGTGTGTGTACGGCTCCGACCGCTCTCGCTCCCTCGCCGTGCCTTTAGGAAGCAAGAATGCCAACCATTTCCCATTAAATCTTCTCCTTACACTAGGCACGGTTATATTTAACTCCTGTGCTGGATCAGTTGCCCCCATTGTGGATGTTAGCTGCTAAAACGGTGGCGGTGGGGATTCTGTTTTGGTAACAGAAGCAAAAAGGCACTTTGGGTTGATAATAATAATGAGCAGGAAAGGGAGAGATTAGAAACTGGACTATAAACAGCATCCCTCAGCGCAGGCAACCAGACAACAATGTCGAGATGAATAAAATCCCTGATTGATCATCTTCTACAGGTCACTAATTGCCTTAATGAGAGAGCTGAGCAGTGACCTAACATCTGTTTATAACTGGGGGTGCTTTGCATTCGCTTACACCGTACATCTTCGGCTGAGGGATGCCACCGAGGCTCCACAGCCACAGATCATTATTTAGCATTTAAGAGAAAACGAAAGCATCACTAGTAGTTGATCAGACACCGAGTGACTGCAAAGAGTTTAGTGACAGGGCGCAACAGGTGGAAGAAACAATAAGTGTGCCATTATGAGGTGACTGAAACGCAATCGGCTCTGGGGGTGGTGGCAGCCGACGCACCGCACAGCGCCGTGGGAGGAAAACAAACCTCTCGTTTTCTGAAAAGCAGCGTGAGCTTTTGTTACCTGTACAAAAGCCTGGCGTTTCTGTGCTTTGTTCCAACTGGCAATAAGTTTCTGTCATGAGACGGGTCCTTCACACGTTCCCTTTCCGCTTGGGATCTGACAGCTGCTTCCATTAAGAGCAGAGGTGCTCACTGGTGTGAAAACCGTCATTATTCCTGCCCTCCCAGATGGAGATGTTCGTTGCCCGCTGCTTATTTGTCTCCTGAGATAAACAGGGGAATCTTTTGGATTAATTACAGAATTGATTTTTTGTTTTCACTTGAGAAAAATTACTCACTGACAGGGACAGTGATGTATTCCCTCAGGGTGATAACTCCTACTGCACACTACTAAAGGGCAAAGCGATGCATCTGCACAATTCTAGCTAAACTGTCTTGGCTTTTAGTAGTCCCTGCAAAGTTTATCATGACAAGCCCTAAGTATATAAGAAAAATATCCAGTTGCCTGTTTATAAGGATAAGCAGTGGACAATTCCCACCTTAGAAGGCTGCATGAGCACTGGAAAAAAATCCTCAGAAGTTAAAATGTCATGATTTTATCAAAAGAGGCTCTCCATGGGCCGCAGCCTCCTCCAGGCCACATCCACCTGCTCCACCGGGGGCTCCTCTACCCACAGGGGGGCTGCAGCGTGGAGATCTGCTCCATGTGGGACCCATGGGCTGCAGGGGGACAGCCTGCTCCACCAGGGGCCTCTCCATGGGCCATAGGGGAACTGCTGCTGCCTGCCTGGAGCACCTCCTGCCCTCCTGCTGCACTGACCTTGGGGGCTGCAGGGCTGCTTCTCACCCCTCTGTCCCAGCTGCCGTGGTGCAGCAGTTTTTCCCGTTCCATTATCTGCTCTCCCAGAGGCCCAACCAGCATTGCTCATGGCTGGGCTCTGGCCAGCAGTGGGTCTCTTTGGGAGCTGGCTGGAGCTGGCTCTGATCTGACATGGGGCAGCTGCTGGGCTCTGCTCACAGGAGCCACTGCTGTAGCTTCCCTACTACCAAAACCTTGCCATGTAAACCCGATACACTTTGCAGTCAATTTTTCAGTAGAAACTTTTGGTCCTGTGGAAAACCCAGATTAAACATGGTTGCTTTGTCAACATTCTCCTCTCTTCACTTAACATTGCCACCACTTCGAAGTCTGAGCCTGCTTGACTTGAAACGGCGCTCAGCCAATGCAAGGGAAAGCTCTGTAGGCACACACTGTGCTGAGGAAAACACGGCATATTCCACACAAAGCTTCAAAGGAGATGTTCAGATTTATATTTGAACAGACCTCTTCATCGTGACGGAGCTGTAGTGCATCACATTGTTAGTTTTCAGTGGAAGCACATTCAGGACAGCAGAGAGAAGTACTCTCATTACAGGTCAGCAAGGCAGGCCATGCAGGCACTGGCTTTTGTTTGCTCTACTTTTAAGGCATTGACCTTACTAGCTGAAAGTGCTGGCAAGGGTGCTGATGGTTTCAGTGGGAGAGGAGTGAAGTCCCTTGGACATGGACAATAAAAATGGACAATAGCTGTGGGCTTTTCGCCCGAGTACACGACTGCCACTCGGTGCTAAGTGGCGCTTCGTGCCAGATGACAAGGATGCACACCTGGCTGCAGGGCTTGTCCCTGACCTCTGTGGCATCGGCTCACGTGATGGAGATGATCCCGAGGAGGGGAAGTGTCACGTAGCAGAGTGAGTCTTACATGGTGTGAGAAACTCGACAGACGTGCTTTCCAGTCCCCTGAGCTATCGATCAGCTGTGAGCTTGCTCAGCCAAGCGGTTCATTTCTCCAGCGATTCCCATGGGCCCACAAAGTCAATGGAAAGCTTCTGCTCCCTTCAGAGAGAGCTGCATCAGATAGCTAAGGCCACTGCTCTGAGAACATGAATCCTTGTCTCTATCATGCACATAGTAATTAATAACAAACCTGGATTATTTTCTTCCTTCTATATACACTGCAGCTGCTATGGGTGGTGTGGTGAAAATCCACATAAAAATGACTTAATTCTGCAACTGCCAATAACCTATAAAAATTTGGGAATAAACATTTATTTATTTATTTATTTTATTTTGCTCTGAAATTATGTGGCTGCTAAAAACAAAGGAAATGTATACTATATGATTCTTACTCACCTGTCTCACCTAGAATTGCTACTCTGATACCAGCAGTGCTACTTATTGAATGGCAATACAGTGGCTTCAGAGGTATTTTTATTTCAGATGCCAATAGCTTAAGAAAGAAACACAGCAAAGTATTGACAATCTGCAGTTTCCAAGTCTCATAAGATACCACCATGACCTAAAGCGAGAACAAAGTCTGAAGGACTTGACTTTAAAAATCTTTCTACAATGGGAACTCCAGAAACCAAGATATCATCTGACATCTAACACTCAAAAATAAAAGAACACCACAGTTTGATTGCAGGCGATCAATGACAGTTTTAAAAATCCTAGTTTGAGTAGATACCGTAACAGCTAATAAAATATCAAAAACCAACTAGCAGTTACACACTGAGAAAAAAAAAACAAACAAAAAAAAAAAAACTGAACAGTTTACAAGTTTACCTGCTGTTGCTTTATCTTTTCAGCACAGAGATGACCTCTTCGAAGTGGATGGAAGAATGCTGATCATTCCTACCATACAGATAGAATTTATGGACCTATCTTTCCTATGCAAGAATTAATGAATACTTGTTAAAAAGAATGCTTTTTTTCTCGGTCCTATCCATTTTCTGTTGGCAGATCCTTCATCAACAATCCAAAGGAAAATGAGTGTAGTTCAAATAAAATATCATCAATCTCAGGGTCCAGTATGAACACAGTTCTAATTAAAAGGCTAAAGATAATTGAGATTTTCTAGTTCAAAAGGCTGAATGCTCTTCTGCTGAGTGGGCCAAAGGTAAAACAGCAACCCAGTGGTAATGCAATAATTCAATAACAGACGCTGTCTGCAAAGTAGTACAGAAGAATTCTGCTCATTCAATTAGTGTGCGAGATGGAGAAGATTTTTTATAATTATGTCTTCCTTGCAAAACTTGTTAGTTATTTAACAGTGATTGGTTTTCACAATAAAAATATCTGGTCAAGTTCACACACTTGCATCATTCATGCCGAACATTTAGATTTTGTACTTGGACAACGTGGCTAACATCGCTTTGGAAGACATTATTATCTACAAGAACAGAGGCAACTGCTGAAGTGAAAACAAAAATTGTAAATGCTGAAAAACAAAGAACGGCTTCATCGTTTCATTGCTGATGAGTTTAGATTTGTTTAATTCTGAAGCCCATATAGGACCAGACCCACAGACTGAGCGATGAAATAAATTCAGCCACATGGGAGAGTTCTGACTCCACAGCTCCACTCGTGCTGCTCACCCAGCAGGGCAGCGGGTCACTGTGTGTGGCCAGTTAAATGCCAGCCGGTGCTAGTAAGTCTTCAGATGGATGAGCACATCCTAAGGGCAGCACGTTGATGCCTAGCAACTTCCAATAGCAACTCTTTTGGCAAATTTCGTCACTTAACAGATGTTTGATACATTGCACAGCAAGCAGTGGCCTTCTGTCCCCCACTTCTCCATGTATTTCCACTTGCAGAGATACAAAACTGGTTAGTGAATTTCACTTACTTTACCCCTTCCAGAAATTATTTGTCTTCAGAGCAGCCCAAATCTCACCCCGTTTTTAGTTTTCAGATCCAAACTCTAACTTTGTACCTTTAGACCTGTTTCAAAGGCTCAGCCTTTCACTTTTTTTTTCCCATGATTAATTCCCATGCATGCTTTTGTTTTTTTTTTCCCTCCCATTGATTGATAATGGAACAAGCTACAGCATAGAAGAGTTATGAACATGATTAAACATTAGGGGATAATGCCAAGTGACTTCCATCAAAGCTATCAGAAGAACTGCACTGTGGCCTTCTAATGCTGGAAGGCAGAACAAAACAAAACAACCTTAAAACAATAATTCAGCTGCTGACCTTTTTAATATCACTCCTCTTCCCCTTTCCTGTTGTTTCATCCTTGTTTTTCAAACTGCAAATCATTTATCATTTGCTGTGGGATTGTTTATAATTCTGTACAACAGCGGGGTTGTTTGAGTGCATACCTGCAGAAAGCCTCTGCATATCTACAATGCAAGCGTTTGCTGTAAAGAAACACACAGTCAGGAATCCCATGGAGATGCAGAATGGTTACTTAGTGCCTATGTAGCATGTCCAGCGTGTTCTCTTTGTGCTTTATCTGCTGCACAGGAGCAGACCACCATGCAGGACAAATGCAATACTCGATGCTTCTTAGATGCGATGCACTCATCACGCATGCATCTAGAGGAAATGGAAATAGTTCTCAGGGTAATTCTTTCATCTTGAATAATTTGGGTTGTCTATTTGCTGGTTTTTACTCCTATTAGTGAAGGTCTGCAGGAGTTGCTGCCTGTACTTGTATCACTGCAGTGCTGCTGGAGGCACAGAGCAGGAGAGGATCTGGCAGTAATTGGCTCTCATGACTCCTACTTGAGTGATTTATCATCCAGCCTGCCAAGAAGCCCAATCAATTAAACACCACAAAGCACAATCTTCTTTTTTCCTCTGTGAATATTCTTGCTTTAACCGTCACTGTGGTCGCCGGACTCTCCATCCCAGAGTGCTACGTGGGTGCTGGCAATGCAGCACCTGCACCTGCTGTCTGTACTGCACCATTGCATCATTAAGGTGTAAGCAAACAGAGCAGAACACCGGGGCATACACCTCGGAAAATGCTCCTCAGCGTTGGCACTGAAGCTTTCTGCAGAGCATCCGTGCTAGGTGAGTTCCCAGAGCACCCTGATTCAGGAAAAGACTTGATCATGAATGGAACCTCAGACATCCAAGTGAAGCCAACGAAGCTGCTCCTGAAATCAAGCATGTGCTTTTTTTTTCTTTTTTTAATGATAAAAAGCAAAAGGATGGCCTCAAGTGCTGACCATGACGCTATGGCAAGCAGAACTGTGCAGAATAAACAAGACTTCTCTGGAACCGCACTTGTCAGGCAGCCCACGCCCCCACTTCAAATCTACTGTGCTTGTAAGGTGATGGCTGATTTCAGAGGCCGCTGTGTCAGGTAGAGAGGTTTTGCCTTTTTACAGGGCTTTAAATTTCAAACCCCAGGCAGTACTCTTACTGTGGCAGCACACAAGGCACAGAGTTGGGCACTGCACATTGCCCAGTCATCCCGGTACACCAGAGTTGTCGTCTTCTAAACACAGGATGCAGCTGAGCCTAATTAAACCAGACAAATGCATTTTCCAAGCTCCCTTTGCAGAATTAGGGAACTATAATTAAGGCTGTGCTAGCATTGCCATTTTAAAGTCCTACTTTTGAAGGTTCTCTCATTTGTATTAAAGACATCCTTGCCAAGCGGCAACTTGGCACAAAGGGATGAAAACTTTGAATAAAGTCAGCTCTGACTCCAAGCTCAGTAATAAAGGGCTCACTGCTTTCAGCTACCTAGAACGAGGCCGTGGGTGAGCTACCTATCTGGTGGTATAAAATACCTGGTAGGGCTGAAATGTTCATTCTTTCCAACAGAATTTCTGCTGCTTTTCTGAGCCCTTGGATGTTACCCCTGTCTTTGCAGTGAGCAGCTTTGTGGCCTGTCTAACAAGGTGCTCACACCTAGCCCCCAGCCGCGTCTCCTCGCTGTGACAAGGACACTCAAGTCCCCGGGTACTGGTATCAGCACCTTCCACGGCCATGGTCTATAAAATGCCCTACGTGCACATTATCTTAATGACAGCATCAAGGATACAGATGACAAGTTCTTCAAGCGCTCTTTAAGATTGCCAACTCTTTTTTTTTTTTCCATACATCTAATGTGTTGATTTCATTACAGAGAGACTTTTATCCAGACACCACGGAGCTCTAGCTTGGACGCATGCCTGAGGGCACATTGTCACTGCGGCTGCAAGGTGGTGTGGAAGTACACCTTCTGCAAACCTGCTGCAGCCACCACACAGCCAGCAGAAGGGCCTCTGTGCCGGACATTTCGGTTCCCAGGTAGGGTACTGGTTATGCTTTTTCATGCTGCAACAGCTACAGTTAGTCAGTGCACAAAACCATGCCCAGGAATGCAGTGATTGCTTTCTGGAAGCAATAGGCACACAGATTGATGGTGCTGCATACATTTTGGGTGCAAAAATGCTTAATGTGGGTCTTCCACTTTTTCCTCATTTGGTAGCATTACCAACACTAGAGACTACAGGGAAATCTCCCATTAGCTCTGTGCAAAGATTTTTCTAAGTTGCTGACTTCCGTATGTCCATGGTGATTTGTACAACCCCAGGTTGACAGCTAGTGCATTCTGTCAACTCCAAAACACAGCAACTCAAACTCTGTCTTAAAAGCATCCCACTTAAGAGTTTTCCCCAGGATATTACACAATTGCTCAGACTGCTGGAACTGACAAGTCAAAAAAGTCTGAAGTAAACTATTCTACGCTACATATTCAGCAGTGTTTCCTTTCTCTCTACCTTGAAAACAATGATAAAAACCAAAAATTCTACGGAGTATTAACTGAAGCAAGCAAATTGTCATTCTATTAATTTCTCTTACTTATTTCTGCACTATTTCAGGCAGCCTAGAGATTCCTGGAAAGAACAGACACTGAAATCATTTTCATTTATATTAGCGTGTGCCATAATTAGCTCGAAGGGTCTGCTTTACTGCGGGCCTCTTTAAAACCCGTCCATCTGTTTTCCATCAAATCACCAAAAGAAACAGCAAATGTCCCTTTCAGAATAGCTGTTTCTTGCTCATTACGGTATCCAGTTATAAGTAAATAAATCAGAAGTTACATTGTCTCTACGTTGTTACAGTGATCAGCTCTGATATCTGCTGTGATCTCAGAACATCACTAAGTACCAGGGTGACAAGCACGCTTTTCTACACTAAGCACAGCAACCGAGGTCTTTATAATAGCATAAAAAGCTGCACCTGGCATCTTCAGCCCGACTTACAAAGCCACAATGTGGCCAGGCCAGAAATAAGTCACGTTTAGTAGCAGTTTTCCTACAGCTTACAGCCAGCGTGTGCATTTTGTGGGTGCAGTGGCAGGCCTGCAGATTCACTGCAGTTTTTTTCAGGTGTATTTAGGTTTTTTCACTGCTGTTTGAAAACAAATCTGTCCAGACCAAGCATACATCTGATTACTCATCAAGATGGGTATATGCCATAAGGCTGTAACAGTTGATGGCAAGCATTCATTACACGCCAACATGTTAACGGGGCGGACAGCCTACAGAACTCACTATCAGACTAAAAGTGAAACGGTTAAAAAGTTAATCTGCAAACTAGAGCTGTTGGCAAGATGAGCATACCATGAGACTGCAGGAACACATTTAACACAGAGTATCTTGTGAGGTGTTGAGACAGTAACAAACTTTACTTCTTGTTCTTCGTTTCCGCTTACCTGGCAATTCTGTTTTTGTTTTGGCTGCCGATTGTTTTGACCCTGGTTGCACAGTTAGGTTAGCTGGGAGGTTTTAGAAGCCTCTGTAATGCTTTTCTTATACCGCTTGTTGGTTGTGGGTTTGTGACAGGCCCCTTTTGTGCATGCCTGTGTCTTCTCTTTGTATAGGACAATCGCTGCTGGCCTGAACTGCTGAGTTTCCCCAACCTGAGCAGGCCACTGCAAGAAAAGCTTTCACGGGAACTAAACTAGTGACTGACAGAGGTCACCCATGATAGGTACACCAAATCTTCAAATATTTTTTTATTTACCTTAAAAAAATTCTCAGAGCTGTGCCTCATTCAATCATAATTTAAACAAAGTACCTTACAGTCAGTACCTCTTCCACAGCATCTTCTCTCAACCAGTGCCCTGGCCTTTTGTTCCTCACGAGTTCGGTGCCTTGTGATTGTTCAGTACCTTTAATTCTGTGCTCTGGCCTTGAAAGATTTCACATTGGCTAAAGCCGTATGGGCCAGCACTCCCTAGACCTATGAGATCTGTAGTTTCTTGCTCCTTTTAATAAAACAGGGACATGTCAAAGATATTTTCTTCCCATCTCAACTCTGAAAAAATGTTTGTCTTTCATGCAGTTTCAGCTGCCTAACACCCCCCTTAGATGCAACTCCATGGTGTAAGACAAGGCAAGCTATATAAACAAAGTAGCATGAATTTCACTTTCCTCAGTAAAATTTCCTTTTTCTTTCTATAAATAGAAACTATGTTTGCTCTCCTGAAAAATACCCCTTAATTACTACAACCTGAGAGTTTCTATTGTATCATGGCATTAGTCTAGTTTAAAGCTATCAGAAATGCAGTGCTAATTCTTTTCTGAGCTTCTCAAAAGCTCAATGGCATCCAAACTAATGTTATCAATTATGTTGTCACCTCTCCACAGTTTCAAATTCTTTACTTTCCATCTTCCAGCTGCCTTATTAAAATGAACCATGCATACTATTGCGGTTAATCAACAAGTTTTCTACAAATCCAACTTAAACTGATTTCCTACAGCTGACACAAAATGTTAACATAATTCAAGTACTCTTGTTAAAGGAGAAACAACAGGAAAATATATATTTTTTATTAATTTTTAAATATCAAACAAGAATTTCTGCATTTGTTTATCAAATACAAATGATTGCCCCTCTGGTCAGCCCCAACATTATCTCTTATGAACATTTTACATCATCATAGTAGAGCGTGTTTAATGAGTTAAACACATCAACATCAGTTAACATATTAAAATAAGTTTGTGGAAAGTTATAAGGAAGAATGAAACAAAACCTGTGCCAAGACCCAACGTCGTTCCATGCTCCCTGCAGAAGACCCCACAGAACACAGCAACTCTGCCATCTCAGCAGTCCTACACTAGAGTTTTCACACCCCAAATATACATACACCTACACATTGCCAACACACAGCAAGTAGTGTTATCTCCAGCAGTCTGCAGCACTCGCTCACGTCAGATAGAAGTGCACAGAGATAATACTCTACCTCACAGTAATCGGGCTCTAAGTCAGATTGTCAGATGCAAGGTGAAAACAGTAGATAGAGCCTCAAGTAGGCCAGCCTCTTCTCTTTAAAATCTCAGCTCTGTACCACAGTCCATGGGAGCTGGACACTAAGTTTCTATACAGTAAATACACTGTATGGAAGAGCTTTTGTTGCACAATTAACCAGGCATAGGGCAGTGGCTTTGTGATATCAGCTGAACTAAACATTAAGCTCCAGATAACACTCTCTTTTCCATGAATCCTGGAAAGCTCATTAATGAGTTCAGTCCCATTTTCTGCCTACAGGGATGACAGAGCATTTGCAAAGAGTAAAACTTCAAACAAACTTTTAGTGTTTTTTCCTGCAAGCCCCAGAAGCCCCATTTAACAGGCTATCACAACCCAAGTGCAATAGACAAACTCAGTCCTTGAGTTTTTTGATACACTACTTCTACCTGGAGTAGAAGCTGAAAAAGCATCATGTAAAATTATGAGGCAACTATCTCCCCTGTGGGCTTCAGTGCACAACAAGGCAAACGAGCACTTTCATAATAAGATCCTTCATTTTGCTCATTACAAGATCAGTTCTCAAACAAGTAACACGATGGTCACACAAAAGTGAAGCTACTGTAATCGCAGACTTCAGTGTTTCTAGCAGTAAAAACCACCAGCTTACTCCCTTCTTCCAGAGCTAAGATAATGTAGATACCAATTTACAAATCTTCATGGATATGGCTATGAGTAAAAGAAAAATTACACAGTTTTATCATCAATGTCTCTGTGCAATCAGCTCAGAAAGCCTAGTATGCATTAAAACGTGTCTTGTTCATTGTACAGTTACCTAATTTCAGCACTTAAAGATTACTTTAGTATCATTTTTTTTTTTTAAATCCCATCATTCCACTGTTTATGTAAAAGAATTTTACTGGTTTCACTTCTGGAAACCAATTTAGTTTTCCTTAATGCGTTGCCTTACACCACCATTAACTTCATCTTCTTTTACAGGTTAGATCGAGTAAGCCAAGGAAATTCCTGGAAGCCAAAAAGAGAATAAAATACTTATCAGAATGGGCGAACAGTAAGGGAATCCTGATACAAATATGTACTAACTACCAGACGGAATCCACAAGACATAAATAAAGACTGCTCAGAAAAATGTTTTGTCTCATTTTGTCAGGAATGGGAAGGAACAACTCTCATGTCTGGGAAGAGTCATTAAAGATGCTAGGCATCAGTAGGAGCCAATGAAAAAACAAGGAAAGAAGACAAAGCAGTGTAAGGGCACTGATTTTGCCATCTCCCAACTCTGAAGAGAATCTGCCTTTCAGTCATCTGCATTCTCTGCAGTTTTGGTGATGCTTCCTAACTACTCAAGAAAGGAAAACATAAATACCTGTTTCTTCCTGTCAGACTGTGGATCAATCATTACATTTATAAGAGAAGGTGTTTGCTTGTCAGTCACGCTTGCTTTCAGAGCTTTCTGCAATTCTTCTGGTGTTTTAACAAAATATCCTTTACCACCAAACGCAGACATAATTTCCTCATAGTGTGAATTTGGCAGGAGAGAAACTGGAGGTACACTGCAGTGAAACAGAAAACTCTGAGAAACAGCAGGGAAGAACTGCCAGATTGACCAATTTAATTACTTCACTGCACCAATTCTAAAAGTATGCGACGATTATTGTTCTGGCCTGATGAATTCTTCTGGGCTGGAGGAACTGTTTCCTATACCACTTAAGCTATGCTTACAGTTGCACTTTCATCTGGAGACACTCTTGAGTAGGCTTTTAGCCTAGTTCAAGGGCACAGGCATCTCAGCTCCAGAAGCAGAAGCTCAGCATATACTTACAACACAGCCCTTGGGTAGTTTGGAAGACCATTGTCATTTTGGAGGTTATCCCACTATGAACTCTATATCCTGTGGGGCCTGAGCTGCTACTGGAACCTGAGATGACTAACGGAGTCATCTCTGCTAGACATTGTGTAAACAAAAGTCTGTAATTAGGTTGATTCTTCACCTTTGGTAACTGGTTCTTCTTTACTCAAACTAACCCTAGGACTTAGGTTCACTTCATGAAAAATTTCACTGTGAATCATAAAGCATTAAAAGTGAACAGAATGACTATTTTGGTCATTTCTTCCTTAATTAACAAGACACTGAAGATGCTCACCATGTAGCAGGATCTCCATATTGTAACATCTCTTTCCAGTTATCCGCATTCAAACCAGTGTAAATTCCGTTGTTGTTTACCACGATAATCACGATTGGCAAGTTGTATCTACAGAGATACATTTAGAAGATCTTTGAAATATCTGCAAATATCTTTCTGCAAGGTGTTGAAAGTGTTACTTTTCATTAAAGATAAAATGATAAATTAAAAAAAATCAGTTTCACCTGAAACATGATCTACTCGTTACTGGTAACAACACAGTCAAAAATGACTATGGATAGTGTTTGGCTTGTTTTCCTGTGTCTTAATTTAAGAGTACCCTATAACAGCAGTGTTCTTGGCCTTCTAGTTTAATTTATCCAGGCAACATACAAAGAGGGTCTTCTTGAGCAAAAACCAGTTACCTGCAAATTGTTTCCACTTCCATCCCAGAAAATCCAAAAGCACTATCTCCTTCTATGCAGATGACTCGCTTTTCAGGTGTTCGGTCTTTAGCTACCAGTGCAGCTGCTATGGCAAAACCCAGTCCAACTCCCATTGTTCCAAAAGTACCTGCATCAAGCCTAAAGGTGAGAACACAGAATCTCTAAGATTCTCTAGAATCTCTAAATTCACTCAAACTTTTCAGTTAATCCACAATTTAATTTTAATAATTACTCATATACTTTTCCAATATCGTTTCATAAACAATTTGTTTGTTTGGATCCCAGATATATGGATTATTATATTCATTTAAACATCAAATAAGACTGAAAATAATTTGAGACAAACATACTCAAACTAATTAAAATTGAGAACTCTCATACACTAGTGGTATTACAGTAAAGAAAGACTATTCTTATATGCTTTTAGCTTGCATAGTAACATAGTAATTACTCTAGAGATAGGCAGACTACATGAAATCTCTCTGTATTTAATTCCTTGGAAACGTAACTAGAAGTCTGAAAGCCATCAGTTAAATAATGCTGTTCAAACTTTAGTCTTCTGTTCAACTTTTGAAATCAAATTGCAAGCTGTAATTAAGTTAGATCATTTCAGTCAGAAGCACATAATGGAAACAAAAGTACATGAAGAACTAGATTACTCTAGGGTTAACTTCTCATATTTGCTTTCAGACATGCGCAATTCAATATGAAGCCAATTTACTGTGCCCTTATTTTAAAAAGAGGGAAAAATGCAAACTCTTCCTCCAACTTCACTGGAAGTTTTTAGGTTTTGTTTTGTTTACAAATAAGTATTTAGGTTCATCTAGGATGTGTTACTTTCACAAAAAGGCTCTAAGCTTCCCAGTCAGATCAGACAGTTCATCTCACCAAGGGAGAACTTTTTCCCCACTCTTCAAGAAACGGCACTTAGTTCTTACCTATAATAATTCTGTGTGGTATAGCTTTAATAAGATGACATCCGCACATTTCTGATTTTGGGTGCCTGCATTTTAGGCATACAGGTTTGCATGAAAGTGTGTTCAATATATAATTCAATTTTCAATACAAACTTATCTTCTCAAGTTTTCCCTGTTCTTTAAGTGTTGTGTTTCAAAGAAAAACTTGTTTTGCAGAAATTCTTTTCAACATGAGATTCCAAACTACCCTTCTTATTTTAAATCAGTTTTTACCATACCCCCTGAGCACAAAAATAAGCATCTAGATTGGAGAATTTTTTATGATGCTCCTCACTCACTTTCCACAAAAGAAAGAGAGCGAGAAACTATAATCCCTCTGCTGCAGAGCACACAGGTCACAGGGAACTTAAAATCTCTGACAGGACATCAGTACACAAGTGGATAACTTCCCTTTAGCCAACATACATCTATTTTGTTTAGAGACTTTAAAAAGAATTATAAAAATTATGGGAATTATAAAAAAATTATAAAAATTCATATAAATGAAAACATTTATATAAAACTCTAGTCTGTTGAGCCAGCACAACAAAGAAAATACCACACCTTTGACGGGGATAATAATTAGGAAGCATAGTTCGTCCAATGTCCATGGTGTTTGCTCCCTCACTTACTAAAATGCTGTCCTTGGGTATTAGTTCTCTGATGTGATGAAAGACTGTGTAGTAATTCATAGGCAGGGATTTCTGCAATGCTAATTCCTTAAAAATAACAAAATATAGAGTAAGGTGCAGAACTGAGATACATAAATAATACTATGGTACTATACAAGGTAGGGATGAAGTATTTGGCCTTCCATGTTATATTTCAAGGTCATGTATGGTTTATTCTGGTCACAACACTTATCAGAGGTGCATTCTGGTCAGCAACCTGCTCCCTTGGTTGGCCCATCATTAACAGGAACCTACTAAACCCAGTTTAACCTAAGCGACACATTAATTTTTTCACACACACAGGTTTCACTGTTGGTAACTCTAAACGAGTTGCCATCTGTATGTTAGGAGGAAGTTCAAAAGGGCGAACTGCTACGATTGATCTATTTTAATCCCACCTTGGAAAAAAGCATCTGAACTTGCAGAATATGGGTTGTATAAAGTTAAGCATACGCTGTCTGTGGTATTTTGGCTTGAGAGCTACTTACAGTTAATATAAATTGTTTCCACCAGCCTTGCTTTGGACATAAATATCCGAACTAACTAAGAAGTTTGAAAATAGAGCAGTGATAAAATTATGTATCAGTACCTGTTAAGGCAAGAAAACTCCTAATTGCTTTGATATAATACCTTTGATCTTTCCTCATTGTTCTTTATTTTCTCTCTTAGTTTCTTCCACCACTCTGAATTAGAAGGATATTTCAGTAGTCTTTTGCTGAATTCTTCTAAAAGCTGCAATGACATTTGAAATGTTGCAGATGTCTTTCAATAGATATAGGAACATAACAAGCATCAAGAATGTTATCAAGAAGGATCCCTACACAAACCAGAATCTTTAACATTTAACTTGGGATGCACAGCACGGGTATGTTGCAGGAAACATGCCTTTCCTTGTTTTTGTTTTAAGCTAGTAACTATACATCAGAAGAAATTAAGGTCAAAAAAGGAGAACACCTGACATTACATTACCTGCTTAGTCACGGCATTTATGTCACCTAGTAAAACTGCAGCTGGTCTCACATTATTCCCCAGCTCTTCTGCACAAATATCAATCTGTATTTCAAAAAGAAAGGCCACCATTAACTCAAAGTTATTATAGGGATTTACTTTTTTTCCAGTTCAAGTGAGGAACATTATCTGACTGTTTTTATACACTGTTTTGGCCGTACAAACAAATTCCTCTGCCTTTTACTGAAATAACATCTGGAAATGCTTTATTTGACGTCAAATTTTAATATTAACCCTTGACAGTGGAAAAAAAAGTGACTCTGAATGAGATTAAAAAGTATTTTTGCATTTTTTAGGTAAAAGAAACAGAAGAAATACTGATTTCAAAAGTCAAAAAGAATTCTAGTTAAACAAAAAATGTTATTCCTCTGAAAAAGATGAAGCTTGGAAACTGAGATAATGTTCCAGATCACTGAAAGTGGGCCAGCCACACCGCACTAAGTCAACTATTACTCTTCAATCACAGGCCCTAAGGAAGAATATCTTTGGGACATTATCAGTTTAACAACTTGTCTTTCTAGGAGCTGGCATATTACCAAATACACTAATTAGCTAAATAGCCTTTCTTTTTTTTTTTTTTTCCCCCCATGAACATCTCTGAGTGACTGAGCTCTTACAATGACTGACTGACTCTGGATCTGAAGGTAATTGTCTTTTGAAAATATCCAACTGAGAGAGCAGTCGAACAGTATGAAAGGTTTCACAATTTAAGGACAATTTGTTTTCAACCACTGAAATTCCAGAGCTCCAAAGATCACATGCATATCACAAGTCCAATCTTATATTAAACAACTACACATAAGTGTCTGCCCTCCTCACAACATCAGCACCAAGTCCTTTATAGCTGGAAAAGTTTTTTAACCATTTTTAGAAAATACAAGGAATAAATTAAAATTAAAGGAATCACAACTATTTCTAGAGAACTACTGTAACTATGTGATCTCTATTGCACTGTCTGTAGGGCAGAATTTGCCACAAACTATGCTACCAAAATATTTGCAAAAACTGCTCTAGACAATGCTGGAACACAGAGGACTGCCTTCAACTTGTAAATTTTGTGCTTACCTGAATAACCTTTACATCTGGTCGAAACCTTGGCGGAAGACCAAAATGCAAAATCCAGTTCAACCTTGCACCAAGCAAGATGACTACATCAGCATGCTGTAATGCCCTATAAAGGTACAGAAGAATTAGATGAGGAGGAATTGCTGTTAAATTTAATAGTGTTTTTGAAACTAGAAGTAATAATAACCATCAAAGTATTTATGTATATATGTATAACCACAAGAATATATGCATAATCCTTTCTTCCTCTAAACTTCTTGTTTAGCTACATAAACCCCTGAATTTTTACATAGTCAATCATTAAGCCATTCTTGAGTTTAAGAACTCAAGGAAAAAAAAATATACTCTTTTCCTAATACACTGTGTTAAGAAAGAAATTGTAACACTGGGAGACTAACAAGATGCTATCATGATACTGAGGTTAAAGAAAAACACTCACTACTCTGATATTGACAACAGTTAATTGCCAAAATTAAGAGCGTTGTGGCCCTCTCAGCTTATGCTCCTGTTAATTTACCTTCCAGCTGCATACACAATACATGGCGTTTTCTTTTATTCTCCATTTTTCTTATGAGTGTGCTTACCAATGATAAAGCTATGATCCTTGACAAAGGGCAAATGTTTTAGTTTTCAAGTATAACAAAGTGCCATCTGCAAGCTAACTGTGCATACTCATACCTGCCAGGGTTCTTAAAGTTCACTCACATTAGTTTTGCAAAAACTCTTATGAATAAATTTTTATATATTCGTTCAATAGATTTGGAAATACTTTTCTTTCTAACTAAAGAGCAATACAGTGATGGCAAACACCACACAACTACTGCAGTTCAAGTTTTGCTGTCTGTTATGTGTGCACCTTTTGCTTCTCTGGTGTTAAAGTAGAAGGCTAATAGTTTTTCAAGTGCACTAAATTAAATACTTAAGATAAACTGTTCACTAGTTTCACTTTGTTATGAAATGCACACTAGCAACATTGATACATCTACTTGCCGTAGGTTTCATAGCTACAAAATACTAGCTCTCAGACAAGTATCTTCCTGGTCCGCATTCTAAGCGCTGTCAGAAGCGATCCACCTAAATTTGTTGTTTCTTTCCAAGCAAGATCTTCAGCGCTCTAAAATCAGCTGCGAAACATAGCTGAAACCACTTTCTGATGTATACATTTTGTCTTCCCTGGAATTTGTAAAACACCACAATTCCCAGTTGTTTCTCAGATGTTAGGGTTAGAAGCCTTGCTTTATATTTACGTGGATCTTGCTGCAGCTACACAATTTGGATGGTTATCAGGAACTACTCCTTTTGCCATTGGGGTAGGCAAAAAAGGCAGTCCACAAAGGTCCACCAACTTTCTGATGTTGTTTTCAGCATGTGAATAAGCAGCACCTGAATGAAACGAAAGAGACTGCTTAATACTACTGAAACCTACTGCATCCACCTGAGTTTCAATTAGCCTGGTTACATTAGTGGCAGAAAGAGCACTATTTCCCATCGTGAAAGCTGCCTGTTATTTTTCATTCTGGAAAGCTCAAATATAACTCACTGAACAATAGGTATTTGGGCTCAAATTTAATTTTGGATGGTTGAAGTTCTGTATTATGGCATAGAAATTTGTTGGGAATTTGGGAATTCCTGGTGGTATCTTTACAGTTAAAAAAAAAAAGGCTGATTTTTTTCTGCTTAAACTCGTATTTCATCAACTGACTTTTCTTTTAACCTAGATGAAAAAGGGAAATTGCACAAAATTAAAATGTTTTAGAACAGATTTTAACATCAAATTTCAAAGTTGTTTTTTTTTTAATATAGTGTGAAAAATAGATGGCTAACATTAGTGGGGAAAAGAAATTGGTCTTTTCCTACATATGTGCAGTCAAAGCATGCTACCTTTGCCAATGATTAACAGAGGCTGCTTGGCATGAGCGATGATAGATACCGCCTTGGATATAGCAGAGTGTTCAGCCATGCTGGTGGGAGGTGGTGGGCAGCATTCTACGTACCTGGAAAACATGCAGAATAGAAAAAATACAAAAGAAGAAATGTCAGAAGATAAGATCCATTGTTTAGCATAAAACCACAGCTGTTTCATACCACATTACCCACAGAATTTATGAGAACAGGATAAGTATATTTTTTAAAACAGACTCCAAAATTTTTCTTGCATGTTTCTTTAATCCTATAGGTAGCATTATTCCAGAGATGAAGTAACATTGCTGTTCTACCATCACGGTAATTCATTCATTTTTGCACACTTAATGATAAACTATAATTCAAATAACATTATAATGGAAAGTTAAATTAAGAGAGTCAATTTTTAGTATCATTACTTCAGCCTCATAGCAGATTATTTGATCTCTTGTTCTTTTTATCTTTTTCTTGTTTTAAGAAAATACTAAAGAAACTCAGAACTAAAATTTATTCAGTGCCTTGAAAAATAATGAATGTAATCTGTACGTACTTGACAGAGCTCTTATTCACCTCAAGATTCACAAAATCTCCAGGTATGTCAATATAGCAGGAACCTGGACGACCATACATGCTGGTTCTTACAGCCTAGAAAACAGATGATCAGCTTTAACGCATTTGAAAGGATATTAAATAACTTTAAATTTAAAAAGCAAAACAACAAAGAACATGCTTCAGTATGTACTGAGGTGTTTCAGATTGCTGAACCATCACAGGGAAAAATCCCAAGGACTGATTTATACCTATAGATTTAAGGTTTAACAGTTATTTACATTTCTCCCTACGCACAGTATTAGACTGTAAATTCTTTATTTAATTTAGAATAAGACAACTGTATTACAAGCAATTGTATTTGGAAATACTAGAATAAAATATTTAAGGTAGCATAAACAGAAAAAAAAGACAACCAACTCCTCCATCTTCTATTATGCTCTTAGTTCTTCTGTTACAGGTAGATATTCTGAATTTCAGAATTTGCACTTCTGAAAAAAGCATTGTTCAGAATTATACAGAATTCAGGCTGACATGGCTAAATTGTTCCTACAGCAGGAGTCTTCTGAAACCCTTCCTGAAGCATGGAGATAAGGATGTGTTCTTTCTCAGACAAACATGCAAAACAAACAAACAAAAACAATCTGCACACCTCAAAACTAAATACAAGCATCTCCACCTACCCTCTCCAAATCTTCGCATAATGAAGGCGCTTTGTAACAGAATTTCAGAGCTAAAAGAGTTGAAGTTTGCATTATTGCATTTCTGGTTCTTGCACATATCCCTAAAAGCATTTTTTCATCAAAATCCTTGCAGCTCTGACTGAAGCTAACAAAAAATGCTGCAGGCATCAGTAAACATCAGATTGGAACAATATTTGTTTCTAATCTTTTCCACAGCACTGTTCATAGAAAAAAAAAAAAGCCCTGGGTGTTAATTCACTCAGTCAACACCATGAGCTAGCATCTGCATGATCAAAGTAGTTACAGTAACAACTTTACAAAACAACAACAAAATCAACAAAGCAAACAAACAAAACAAAAGAAAAAAAAAACCCACAGACCTTATGCAGTAGGAGACATTTACAAGATGTTCTGTTGCTAATTTTTCATACCTTTTCAATAACAGCAGGAATAACTTCAAGGCTGCTTGGGCGGACAGACAGTTTGTTGTACAGCCTGCCAGCTTCAACCTAAATAAATCAATAGAATGGTTAAATGCATTTATCAAAGCAATTTGGTCATTTCCAACTCCCTTTGACATGAATGAAATGAGAAAATGACAGATTGAAAGCAACAAGGGGAAAACTCCCACACAGAAAATCAAAGTTCCTCAGCTGGTGTAAATTGTCAAGCCACACTCATTCACTGAGTGCTTATGTATTTTTCCCAGAAAGTGCTGCTTCTGTTCTTGTAAAGTTTATTTTTTTTCTCTTCAATCTCAGAACAGACAGGCAAGGACAATAAATACCAGCTGAGACCTAAAACAGCATGAATTGCAGCATGATGATGGATAAAAACAATACAAGTAATCTGGTGGATTACAGTGTCAACGTTAAACCAGTAGATGGAGCAAATCAACAGCATTACACAACCTGCTAGGAAATGTTAGTAACTGGGATTGTTATCCCTATACTAAGGAAGAAATACCATTGGTTATTTAACTGAAACTATTTTGTAGAAAGTTATGTCTGTGTACCTGTGGAAATTCTTGGAAAGCTCCCATGGTTTCCTGATTTCTGTCAGAAGACCCTCCGATAACAATCAAAGGCCTAGAAAAGGATTAAAAAATATATGCATACATATGTTTTTGTAACTGCAATCACATCTGTGAGCTCACCTTCCTGACAAATCCTATTACTGTTGCAACATCAATGTGAATAGAAAGTGGCCAGCATGTTACAGGGGTGGACTCTAAATATCAATGTCAGGTGGTTGACTTCTTAGCAGCCTTTAGGTGTCTAGTTTTAGAACATTCTGGCCATATTAAATGATAGTTTAAACCAGTCTGTTTAATAGTGACAAACCCTATATTCCTTTTTCTTTTTCTTTTTTTTTTTTTTAAATTTAAAAGTTTTAATAAAAAAATAAACTACTTCCCAATATTTTGAAATACAGTAAGGAGAATACTCTACTCTTAATATAGCTACCCCCAACAGCTATACCTTCAAAATATTTGATTTTCCTTTTAAATCTTATGTAATTGTAACCAGAAATAAGTTTTTCCCCCTGTGTACTCATCATACTGTACTACTGGCACTATACTGTAGACATTTGTAAGAGCAGTGCTTATTACTGCAAGTAGTTAAATTAAATTAAGTCCAAAACAACAGTGAAGCAGGAAGAACACTGACTACAATGAAACTAATAAGAGTTTCAAGCATTACGGACTTGGAAGAGAAGAACTTTAGTAAACTGAAAAAATCCAACTGCAATCTCTGGTAAAGAACAGTACTGCACCATGCTACCGTATACAGGAATCTTTAATGCAAACTCTTCTTTGGAGTTTATTTTCAAAGCCTAACTGAAATAACAAAAATCGTTTGCTCAGTGTGAGGTAGGAGAGGAAACAGCAGTGTTATAGGTAACTTTTAACATGAAGTAACACGTTATACCCTTGGAAATGTAGTTTATCAAGACCTCACTAGCTTCCTAGTTGGCTAGATTCACATGTCCAACAGCTCACTGTGACAAGTTTCCAGGGTAAACTAAAGGCTATTCCACTCAAGCAATCTGTGTTCAGGCAATAAAATCGAAAAACACAATCACTAGTAAATTGTACTATCAGACTGCTTGACTTTCTTACAGTCGATATAGTAGAGGGTTTTTTCTCCTGGATAGGACTGAAACAGAGTAATCAGAAGAACAGGTCTCCAGACTCAAGGAGGATAACTCTGAGCTCTAAGGACTATCCCTTAGAATTATTCAAAGTCAGTACCAGTGGGGTCAGCTCAGCTATTTGTCTCCTGTGAGAAGTAAGCCAATGCTCAATCTACCGCAGCATGTTAAAAGCCAGGTATCATGTCATGGAACCACAAGACTTAATGTTGGGTGCTAACCTTGCCTTACAAATTTGGTCTCCTTATGTGACTTCCTTGCCCAGGATGGGGACGTAACACCTTGTTGCCACACAAGCTAGAAGCCCTCTCTCTAACTTCTGCTCCCAGCTGCATACTCCGTTGTCAAATCTTCTGGTAAACTAGATAAACTGCTTCTTTATCCTTTTGCCAAGTGCACAGGTTTACACAAGATAAAGTCAGGTAAACAGAGCTTATCTCAGGCAATAAACAACTTGTGAGAAAAGAGAAACGTCTCCTGCAAGCCCAATAGCAAGCACAATGTGTTTGTTTTTTTCTTACAGCCAAATTCATGACTGCTCAAATGCAAAGTTTTCATGTGATCTATTTTTTATCTAAAACCACACAGGGACAACAAGCAAAACTTCAGTCGATATTTTTTAAAAAAAGTTTTAACACTATTATGTCTTTTTTCAACGTGTTCAAAACTTTGTTAATTAGAGCTCCCATTATGTAGCTTCCCTTGTCCATCAGCCATTTCTAATCTAATTCTCCAGGTGACGTGTGCTTGGTAACACCACAGCTTCTCCCCAAAATACCTCACACAGCATTCTGAACAGCGTTTAGTGGCAGACCAGCTAAAGTTGCCATGTTTCAGTGAAGTCTTGTGGGAGTAAATGCTGTCGCTGTACCATCATTTAATTCAATTCTTAATTACCCCTCAAAATGTCTGCGTGGGGAACAAACACAGCTTCAGCTTTTAACAATGCAGTTGTCAATTTGTTCATATATGAAATATGGCAAATACAGTAATTCAAAGGTAACATGGCTTTTCAATTTAGAAAAAGCTCAAACTCTTCAAAAAAAAAAAAAAAGTAAAGCATCATAGGCTGAATATCATCTTTATTTGAAAACGTATCCATGCAATCAGGTATGTTGACAGATTTTTCAATAATGCATGCTGGGGTAAGAAAAAAGTAGAATTTTATCCAGGAGAGTACAAAAAAAAAAAAAGTAAATTACTTTTAGGGAAGACAAATGAAGAATTTACTTCTGATTGCATAAAGAAAAAAAAGTTCCCATACTAAATACTGCAAAGCCCAGTATCTGCAACAAATAATAGCAAATAATTATGAGAATTTCAAAGAGAAAATGCACTTAAATTACCAGCAGTTCACGGTTGCATTTGCCATCCCACCAAGGGCATGTAAAAAACCTGGACCAGACACTACAAGACATACTCCTGGCCTAGAGGGAAGGAAAAAAAAAAAAGAAAAGATGCTGAAATACAAGATATTGAACTCGTATGTATGTTTTCAAAATGCATTGACAACATGGGATTTACATGAAGGACTGATATTGCAATCAGAAATCATTTATCAACCCAATTAAAAAAATCATGTGAACTGTTGTTACATGCCACCCGCTCATGCAATGTCTGTGTCTGCTATACACACAGGTTCATCCATGTTTCACTTCATGATTTCTCAGCTCTGTGTTGCTTTTACCACATCTGCTCCACCATTTAGCGTTGATGTGGATTTGGTACGCCCCCCCTTTTTTCAGTTTTCTCAATTCCACTTTAGCACTAGGTGTCAATGAAGAAAGCTCGCAAAGAGAGAAGTGCATCTGACTCAATGCAATTTTATTTATAACTCTATTATAGTCTAATTCAGGCAGAGACACTTTTTATTCCAGTGATAAAAATCCTCATTTTTAACTACTGAGCATTCCTTAGTGGCTCTACAGACTCTCTAAATAGGAGAAAAAAAATCATCTTTCTAGGGGTCTATTGAAAGGAAGAAAACCCAAATAACTGTGTATCACAGGTATAACACTTGCAGATAGAATAAGGATTGATCCTCTGCATCATCATGTCTGCATTTGTGAGTAAGCAGACAGCAGATGGTACTTTAGGAAAGGATCCCTGGGATACCCTTTAAATCACAAGCCACAGAATCCCAGCACTAAGACCAAAATGCGGTACATGAGGAAAAGCCAGCATTTCATCTCAGGAGAAGGGGAGACGGGCAGGCATGTGATTAGTCTCTGTATTTACTCAACAAATATCTTGCTAATAATGACAAGATTAAGTTATAGCAGGCCCACCACATTGCAGCAAACCACAATAGTGTCATTTCTGCCCCTCACACCAATGGTGTTAAACAAATAAACAGAAATCAATGGGAAGAATTAAAGACAGTTATAAGAGTGACAGTATTATATGAGTTTTAGCTCTTGCCCTGAAACATACCAACAGAAATATTGACAACTGGACTGACAATTAATTTAAAATTGATGTCCCATTTTAACTGCCCTGTATCTGCATATGCTAAAAAAGAGCTCCAAAACAAGAAAATGTTCCTAGCTTCTGTTGAGTTACTATATATTACAATAAATATTGTAAATATTGATAAATATGGAATGTACCTGCCAGTCAAATATCCAATAGCAGATGCAGCATAACAGGCCTGTTGAAAAGATTGTGGAATTATACAATTATTATTATAAACTTGTTTCATGATATTTAAATAATGTTCAATATCAATACTGAAATTAAGCAAGCACAGATTTTTCCCTGATAAATACAGCTTACATAGAAGCACCCCTTCACCCTCTCTATTTTAGAGATATGCTCATGAAGGTTTATATGAAAAATCTCAAGACTTCACAGATAACATGGAAGAGGGATTTATGTAGACAGGCGACGAACAGAAATGCAGCCATCACTGGAATGACTCATATTTCAGAAGTTAAGGGAAAGGTTGAAATCATAATTTTATCTTGAAATCAGAAAATTCTAACACTTAAAGCAAAAAAAGTCATTTTGCAATTTTTCTCATTTTTATTTTTATTTTTAAAGTAAACTCCTGGCCTTCTAGCCTACCTCCCTTATTTTGAAATAGAGCTGGGATTTTGTTTTTTATTTATTATTATATTTCAAGTACCATTGTGGCTAAAAGAGTAAGTGACACCAAAGATCTTTCTAAACGTTTAGCGAGCTGCTAAACATTTTCCTCAGACCTATGAATAATTCTAGGTAACACAGCATGTTAGCAATCTGAGCTTAAATGAGTGAAAACATAGATTTATAATAAGCTGTTACAAGGAAGGAGAAACTGTCTTGAATATCCTCAGGCTCCTACAGATATAGACTAACTGTCACAGTAAAAATGTGGGGCTTAGTAGAAGAATAATAAGCATACCTTATTTTCTTTGCAGCAGTAGATAAGGGAATTGTTGACAAAAAAAGCACACTGACAAGAAAAATCTCTTCCTACTTTTCATAAATCTTCGACATAGAGAAGAAAAATATCACTGATATAAGAATTAGGTAACTATTTGATGACACTGGTGTGCAAAAGTTTAGAAATAATATTTGGAGTAGGTGTTACTAAAATCCTGCTAATGAAGCTCAAAGCATGGTGCTGAGTTTCCATGGCAATGTTGTTTGAGAACTGAGTGGCAAAATAAACAGCACACAGAATTTAAGTTCACGTACAGTCACTGCCATTAAGATTTTTACTGTTTCTTTCTGCAAGGAAGCAACATGACTAAAACTATCACTATTTAGAGATTAGGAGATTGTAAATAGTTCTGAAGCTATACTTGAAGATTTTTTGTAAAAGGATTTTTTGATTCTTACTGTTACATCTAACATCTTGTCCCACTAACACATGAGCACCTGCATGCATATTATCTGTCAAGGTCACAACACAGTGGCTCAGCTGAAAGCAGATCCTTATGTTCCTCACGCAGTCCAGAAGGACCTGGGCATATAAAATGTCATTAACCTCCCAAACTGCAGTCAGCATTAGCAAGAAATACAGTAAGCCCAGATGCTAGCACTGAAGTCAAAATTTAGAACTACTCATGTGAACATGGGGTTTTGAGCTGTAGCTAAAGCAGAGGACTGTTGCTCCCAGACAAGTAGACACATTAAGCAGGGTTTAACTAAATCTTAGCCTGTTTTCAACTCACATACAAGCAAATTAATACAATATAACTAGTAAACAACACTTAAACATTTTTTGTATGTAGTTATTTGGTAAAAACAGTACAACCATGTCAAGGAGCAGGCCTGACGTCCTTATGCTACTTGTGCCTAACCATACCTTACCCTACACGTTCTGGGACTGGCAATAGGGCTTGTGACCAACTTGCTAGAGAACCTGCTATAGGCACATGAGGCTGCTGCTTGCTACATGGTGTCTTTTGTTATGTACAGCTTAAGTGTAGGCTTGAAAAGCCTTTCCTTGCAGGTGTGACCACAGGTAGAAAGCAGCAGTCCCAGAATAATAAATAACTTGCTCATGGACTATTACTGGCCACCGAAAAAATGCAGCTTTGAAAGCTGTGAAAATGCTGCTTTTGCTTTAGGAAAATAACAAAAAAAAAAAAAAAAAAAAGGAACAGAACAACCCAAATGTGTGAAAGGGCAAGGCACCTGCCTTGGCCTGGGGCATCAGCATCCATCCAACACCGCACAGTCCACAGTCCAGGCACAGAGGCCAAGGGCTATGAACTGTTCACAGACTGCAACATCTTACAGAACGAGATCTTGAAGCCTGGGGTGGAGAAAAATGATGTCCATTTTGGTTCCAGCTGCCCTTACTGAGGGGCTCTCAAGCCCGATTCCCTTTGCAGCTACGAGCATCAGCACCAACTTTACTGCACCAGGTCCAGCATACTGGATGTTCATCACAAACATAAGACACAGTTATCAAAAATGGACTGCTCTGAATACATAGCAGTGATTACTATTTAAGATTAAGAACTAAACATTAGCAATATGCGGTGTTAAATTAATAAAAATCAAATAGCTTTTTTATGAAGTTTAAAACTAACCTATCGATCTCCTAAATCTATCAGAGCGATCTCTACCCAGGGACAAACGCACAAGAGACACACCCCTGTTGAGTTGCAACATAACTCAAGTGTTCAAGTGGCAAGTGGGTCAGGGGTTAAACTGCTAGCAGCAAATCTGGACTGTGTTACAGGCCACAGGGATTAGCTGAAGGATAAACCTTTAACTTCATGCTTTAATCTGGTCTTCCTGCTCTAACAAGTTCTTATACAAACGTGCTTTTGCTACATCTGGCTCAGAAATGAGGCATACACTCAACTCCTGGAGAAAACTTTGTCTTCCATACATCTCCAATCACATACATCAATATGAATATAGGGAACAGCTGCGTACGTGTCCTCTGCAACCACACTGCCCAACTAATAAGGTTGGAAAATTAGAACCATGACATGTAAATATTAATCGTAGATTGAATACACTGTACATACAAATGTTTTACCCTCTCCTCTGCCAAGCAGTTACTCTGTCTTCATTGAGGACAAAGAACAAAGCAAAACCCGCCACAAGATATCTTTGGTTCGTCCTTGCCCATTCCCCGAGAAGAGAAACCCTGCCATTTTAATACTAAAACAAGTCTTCAAGCTATTTCTATAACCCTAAGTAAAAGCATCTCACTGTTTACAAGGTAAAATGTTTCTTGTCTTCCTTGCTCTAACAGAAAAGAGCCTAGTAAAGAGTGATAGACAGCATCTCATTTTGCAGTGCAAAGCAATCTTCTCTATTAATTACAGATACATGACAAAATTAATTTAAATTATGCTAATAACTAAAACTAAAATTAGAATACTTGCTAAGTGATGTACAGGAATATAAAGACCGTGTTGACATCCTGTATTAAATACACCTTTTAAATTTTTTTAGCGCATGTTTGCCTGTCTCACATGGTAGATACAGACTTTCCATGTAGAGACATGCATTCCTCTGAGTTCTCACACTCTTACATGCGTGTCAGGATCAGACAGCAAAACCACACAGCTCATGACCACCTGATTCAGGAGAGCTGTTTTTATCATTCTTTATTGAATTTGAAGTTATCATATTCAACCTCAGGATGTCCAGGAGACCACTGAATTCTGGAAATGTTACTACTGGGGAAAAAAAAACAAACCCAGAACAGTGGCAATCACAACTGTGGCAACACAGTCAAAATGCTAACGACCTCAAGTCTGATTTCTGGTACCTATGCAACTAACCTGAATACTTAAGTGTAGACTAGTGCAGTAACTGTTTCTCTACTGTCTCCTTAAAAGAATGTTCAGAGACTACATTCTTTCTACTGAGATGATGGATTTCATTCTGTTGCAAAACAGTTAAAGAAAGGATTGGTCCTACCAGGCAGATACTTACAGCTTGTTCATTTCTCATTCCTATGTATTTGATTCCAACTGCTTGGGCTGCAACCGCGATTTCAATGATTGGAATACCAACAATGCCAAACATGTATTCAATATTCTAAAAAGAAAACGTTAGAAGCCATCAGAATGGTTTCCAAAGAGTGAAAAGAAAAACAACACACCATACCACCACATATATTCACTTAAAAATTTATGGGTTATTGTAAGAATGCGTACAATACTGGCATTTGCAGTGCAGCCCTCTGTAATTGTTCCACAGTTCGCAGACCTCCAAAACCCACTCCTCTCACAATGGCTCAGCACAGCTCAGAACTCAACACATTCAGCTCTTTCTGATGACCACTTCTTATGGTGTCTCTCCTCCATCATTTTCCCATTAGTCAGTATGTCAGCTTTACTGATCCTGAAAACTCCTAGTATGGTTTCCTCTTGTTAAGCTTTCAGTGAGAATTAACGTTAAAAAAAGCCCCGAGAAGCAACTGGGATTATACTTTGTGAGGGCAAACTGACATATGACAAGATGATGTGAATTTTTACGGCAACCAAGCTACCTTTTCGCATCTGGTACTCCAAACAGAAAGGCTTTTGGTACGACTAGCGCCAATTCTGCACCATTTCGAGTTTACATAAACAACAGGAGCTACTGGTAACCGCAAACGTGCTGCAGGTGCTGTGTACCAATGGAAGGGGTGATGGACATTGCATGACAGCAGCCTGCGGTGAGCTTGCGGGAGCCCAGCAGGCTCCTGAGAGGGAAGAGCCGAGCGAAGGTTCTGGGCAGCGGCCCCACAGACCTGAGCCCCGCCGCTCCCTCACCTCCACCCGTTACCTGACGCCCCTGGGCCGCCATGAGAGCCCCCCTCAGGGCAAACCGTGCCCCGCCCGAGCAAGTGGGGAGGCCGAGCCGCGCACAGCCGCTCCTCCCCGGCCTCGCCTCGCCCCGCACGGCCGGGCCCTTACTTGAGCTCGGAGCGCCTCGGCCACCAGCTGGGCCCCGCTCACCGCCTCCCCCGCCGCCATGACAGCGCCTCAGCCACCTGAGGCGGCTGAGTGACAGGCCGCCCGGCCAATGAGAGCGCAGAGGGGGCGGGCCTATCCAGCGAGAAGCGGCTCCCATTGGTCAGAGCCGGCGCTCGGTCGGAGGGCGGGAGGCGGCGGCCGTTGGCCGCTAGGGGGCGGCCGTTAAACGGCCGGGGCGGTGCGTGAGGCGGCGGCGGGGGCCGTGAGGGGGCCCTGACGGGAGCGGGCCGGAGGCGGCGGGGTCCCGGGGGGACACGGTGGGGGGCGGCGCTGCCCGCAGAGACGGCGGGCGGGAGGGAGGGGTGGGCGGAGGAGAAATAAATATAACTGGGGTCTGGTTGTGTTCGCAGGTCCGCGCTGGTTGCGTGTCCTGCGAGTGGCAGCGGCGCCGCGTAAGTTGTGGGTAAAACGCCCTGTGGAGAAGGTGGAATCGCTCCTGCCCAGCAGCTGTGCTGCTGATGGAGCTTAACAGCCATCTAAGGGGGCCTGGAGATTCTGTTTTGTACAGTCAGCTGGGTTCTGCTGAGTATACTGGTTCTAAGAAGCAGCATTCGCATTGCATTTCTTCGTGTGCTGCGTTTCACTGCTGGGAGACACCTTTGGCTTTGTGAGGTGGTCACACTGAAGCATAGGTGCCAGGCAAGAGACCACAAAAATCACAGGAAAGGGACAGGACAAGAGGTTAATTTAAAAAGCATTTCTATTTATGAAAATTTCTTTTAAAGCTGGGGCTTACATGTAGGTGAGCTGACAGCTCTGTAGACCCTAAACATGTTTCCTTCTCTTCAGGGAAAGGATTTATTAGATTGCCCTCACCATTAGGGGTAGGGAAAATAAAAGAGAGAGAGAGAACGTAGCTGAGACTTATTTGGAGCCTCACGGCCTAAGGAATGAATAAACCCTGACGGTGTCCTACTTTTGGCTGAAAAGGTTACGGTCCCCAAGCCCAGCCCTGAAGCTCGTCACAGCTCTCCCTGTTAGAAGCGCTGCATTAGCTACCACATTTCTGTTGTCGAAGCTGTCAAAAAGGGCATTAGGGAGCACTCACCAGTACTCAGCCATTGTGTGTGGAACTAGGTAATTTCAGCCAGGGGAAAGGACTCAGGGGAATTAGTTACTGAATTGTTTCAGTTGTCACACGTTCAGATGGATGAGCTTGTATAGTCAGATGTTCACTGCTAAAACTCTCGTGCATCTAAAAGAGGAAGGGCAATGACAAAATGATGTATTTTACTGATAGGCTTGGAAAATTCTCACTTTTTAGCCACGGTTTATTTTCTGTCGGTCTGAAACATTTGAGATAGTGAGTCCCTTCCTCTTTTAGATGCCCTGTTCATTTTGTATGTTGCTATGTTTGGCTTCTAAGGCAAAAAGGCTGTTTTTCTGATGCATAGCAGTTTCATCCTGTGATCTCAAACTCTGCAAGTTTTCCATTGCTAGTAGCAAAGAATTCTAATTACATCTTTGTTGACAACTTTGTTAAGGAATGGCTGACGAGAACCCATTCCTGTCCTAAATAGGCGTTTTGGCTCTGAAGGGATGACAGAAATAGAAAAGGGTTTTGTCAGTGAAGTGCTCCAGTGTGTTTATTTTCAGTGGCTTCCTTAACAGTGCGAGGCTTCCCACCTCTTCTCCCTTCTCTGTCCCTCTGCTACTGCTTTATATCTTCATTTGCACCTTGGTATTGAATTCTGATCAGATTTCATTTGCAAAGCTGGCCACTGCACAGGACAAAGTTGGAGCTTACAAAGTCAGTAACTGAACTTGAAGACTGGGGGCCATCAATACCTGGCATCAGCACATCTCTCCTTTGCGCTCTTTCATCTTCACTGACATTCAGCATTTATTTCTTAATGCTAGTAACACAGGGGTGACAGACGGAAATCTCACATTGTATATTTATTGCTCAAATTCTGGAGAACATGGTGTTTCTGTCATATTTCATAAGTATTGCACAGTCACTGACCATGTTCTCTGTAAGTATAGGGTGTTACCAACTTGGGAAGTCAAAAAAAGCTATGTAGGGAGCCCACATTAGAGAGGGTGTCCCAGCCTTCCAGACTCCAAATCATTTATTTCTGCTGCACAGCCTCAAAAGTAGGAGCATAAAGGGATTTCTCCACTGAGAAAATACAGTGAACATGTTCTGTTCCACTGCCTCTCAATGCTACTATTGAGGTCATGGGGATTGAACAAGATAGGAAAGAAATAAATCTAAGAAAAGCTCAGTAATGCAAGGTTTTTTGCATTTTGTTGGGATTTTTGCTTTGTTGTTGTTCTTGTGAAAGCATTTGTTACCTATCTGCACTGCACAGGAGGAATGTGGATCTGAATTGCACTCAACATTTTTCTAAAAGTTGAAAAAAGCCTCATTGTATGAAACAAATTAGAGTATTTATTACACGTGCAGAGTTGGAATCAAGTGAAAATTCAGAATCCATCAGGAGAGGCATTTCCATGGTAGAAAAACAGATAAATGCAAAAGTTTCAATTTTTTTTTTTGCAATTATCTGTTAGTACTGATAAAATGTTGTGTTGTTACTTGTCTACTAAATATAGTGTCCAAATAATTTTAAGAATTGCTGCTTGCAAATCGCCATTATCACCAAATGGGTGAGAAACCGCATGTTTGTGATCTGCTTTTAACGTTGCCCAGAGATGTTTTGATATGTGGTATGATAATCTATAAATGGATGAGGAAGTTAACTGTAAAGGGAGATCAAGCAAAGAGATCAGTGCAACTCTGTACCTAGCAAAAATGCTTTTAAACAGAACAGGCTATCAAAACACCAAGGTACTTAGACTGAAGTTTTAGAAACAATATACACATGTACATTTGGGAATTTAAAAGACCACACTCAGTTGAACCACTGCTCAGAGTCTCAGTTACAGGCCATGTTTAATCTGAAATTCCTGGCGTGAGGTGTTATTCGAGGCCCCCCACCCAGCTGTTTTCTCCCCTCCAGATTTATGGCCTACGACATGGTGGATCTGTGCTGGAAGCTGTCCGTCTGCTTTTTCTGCTCTCAAGTTGTCTCAGGAAGAGTTGAGGAGGCGCGTTACATCGCCGCTGTGTATGAACACGAGTCCATACTGAGCCCTGACCCCACTGCCCTCGTTGATCGCCGCTCAGCGCTGCAGCTCATGGGCAGAAATCTGGACATCTACGAGCAGCAAGTCATGGCTGCTGCAAGGCAGGTATGCCACGGCTTAGGAGCGGTTGCGTGTGCCCTATGTATATATAGAGTAAGTGCTATTTGAGGATAATCTTGCACATTTGTGTTCCCAGGCAACTGCAGCCATATTTATATACATACGTATGGTCTGTTTTTTTCAGACATTCTGACCTGCCAGCCGCTCAGGAAAAAGTCAGGCCAATTAGCAGCTTGCCTGACTTGAGGTATTCCAAGCTTGGAAAAACATGCCTATAGTTATTTAGTGTAGGGAAATTATTTTTCTATTTTGGTCTGAATACCTGCCTCCTTTCTGTTTTCTTCAATGGAATGTTTTTATTGAAAGATTGTTTTACGTCTCTGGCTTTGATTTTATTCCAGTGCTCTCAATGGAAATTCCTGAATGTTTCTAAACACCAAAGAAGTTTAATACTTTGGAAATGAATGTTCCACCATTAACAGTTTTGTGGAAGTAAAGTTTTCCATTCCTTTCTCCTACCGTTCATGGAACAGTCCTTTCTAAATATATTCAGAAGAGAAAGGCTTGTATTTCTGGCACTTGTTATGCACAGCCTCCTTTCCCTTCCTCCCCAAGAAAACTCAAGGCTGCTTCTAGTCAAAGGAAGCAGGCCTTATTGTTCCTATGCAGAGAAGAAGTGATTTGCAGGTTACACAAAGCTGTTGTTTTGGAACAGAATTAACGTTTTTATATAATTTAAGAAAGTGGTGGGGTGTTTGTTTGTTTGTTTGTTTGTTTTTCTGTTTGTTTGTTTTTGAGAAGGTCAGGTTCCTGGGCCTCACAGTCCTGAAAGCGTAATAGCTATTTTTATGCAGTACTGCATCCAAACTACCGTAAATTATCCCAAAGCCATAGCACACATAACACATTTGAAGTGACTTCTCAAAAGACATGGGGATTTTAGGTAGTGCCAACCTAGTCTTGTCATGCTGTTTCTGAAAACAATCCTGCCTGGATTGTTTGTTTTCAGGTAGGATTCCAGTAGGACAGGACTCAAGTGATGCTGCTCCTTTGACACAGTTGTGGTACGTTTGATGCAGATACTGCACCTTTGATAGACTTCATCCACAACTGACATCATTCTGAAAACAAAGTTAAGACAAATTTTAACATTATTAATCTTTAACCTGAATGATGTTGTTCTTGTGACTCACGTGAAGGCAGAATATTTCTGTTAAGAATTCAGAGAAGTCTGCTCTTACTAACACACCCTTAAAATAATGTCAAGTTATTTTTCGAGCTAAAGTTATGACTCAGGTTAAATATATATATTTTATATATACACAGTTACACCTACCATGCTGTTAAAGAAAAGATACCTTCAAACTACATTCAAATCAAACCAAACTTGGATTATCCTCAACTTTCTTTAGCTCTCCTTCACCAATATATTCCCTTTTTTTCATTTCATATTTAGGCTTGTTTTTCTATCCCTACAAAACATGCCTTTGTTTTATATACAGGGGGCACAGATCATTGTTTTCCCTGAAGATGGAATCCATGGCTTCAACTTCACCAGAAGATCCGTTTATCCTTACTTAGATTTTGTTCCACATTCACGTGCTGTGAAATGGAATCCATGCAGAGAGATGTATTTGTTCAATGACACGGAGGTAATTGTAGGAATGTCTTCTGTAGAGAAGTGGAATAACTAAATGCTAGATTCATTCTCCAAGTGCGTAACTACCTCTAGTTTTGCTTAGGGAAGTAAGCAAGAAGTGTAATAACTCACAGTATCAGATTCTGCTTTCATGGACTCTGTTGATGCTGGTTTAATTCTTAGCGGAGGAGGATTTTAGATACACAGAAGAAAGATTAGCTTGTTTATGAGCCTTCTGGGCTTCTAAGCTCCTGCTTCCCAGCCTACGGAATGGTAGTAAGA